CGATCGAGTTAGTCGGCTTACAATTTAACACGTTTGATGTTGGACACTCTTACATAGACATAGTATGATTTTTATTGGCGCATCAGTATTTTTGAATATCGAATATATTTTATAATATATATATCTCTCTCGCGCGCGTTCGATCGAAAATATTCAATCTTTTGTGTTCGTACAAAGCATGTAATTTATTATATGCATATTTATATTATAATGTATTTAAATATTAAATTACTGTTAAATGAAGCAAATGTATAGCGAATAGCTCCGAGTTACGCGAGATATAGAAAACGCTGACGTACAAATGAAACTTGCGTATCAACGAAATACAGACATTTATTTATTTTTTTTATTTTTTATTTTTTTTATTTATTTACAAATTTCACAATTTGACAAGATACATATTTGATATATAAAAAATAAAATATCTTTTTGGTACATGGATACGTACCTACATATCGTCGAAAATGAGATATGTGCGTCATGAAAAAAGAGGAGCCACGCCGCAATTTTTCGACAGCGATCCCTGAAGATTCCTTCAGATATCTCTTTGTGTGCTGCGTCTGCACTTCCTCTTCCGCCATTCTACTCAATATTATCGCACACAGGACTCCTTTCCGGCCTACTTGATATCATAAAATGTTGAAGAATGGGGTCGAATTATCACTGCGGAGACAATCAGCAAAATATCCAAGGACGAAATTTTTCTTAATTTTTTATGTACGCGGAACTTGCTCTGCACTTCTCACAATTTCTTTTATCATGTCGAGAATTGCAAAAGGACAACTTGTAAGGAATACGATCTTTACGCAGTATACGGGAATGAAAGAGAGAGAGAGAGAGAGAGAGAGAGAGAGAGAGTTGTTGCGGATCGTAACGCGCGAGAGACGCGCAAAGTTCTAGAATTGATGAAAAATGTAAGCGAATCGACAGAGAGAGAGAGAGAGAGAGAGAGAGAGAGAGAGAAGTACAGATAGAAAGTTTCAGAAATCGACAAATCTTTCTCAAGTCCGATGAAATACTTGATAAGTCGACTCAAGTTTCCTTTGAGTATACTTCGCAAAAAGAAGAAGTAAAAGACGTTACAAAATCAGTACGCAGATGGTACGATCTTTTCGATGGGAACTCTGTGTGACGTCAATCAAATATCTCGGACCTCGAATTAATCTTTTATCAATGACATGTTGCGATAACTAGGTAAATCGAGACGTATTGTTGGAGCCTGAACATTGTCGAATTACGGCGCTTTATGTTTTTGTAGATTATTTTCTTAACGTATTTCCATGACATCGAATTGCGATTACACGCACGTTACTCGCATCGGACAAACATTATTTTGAAAAAAAAAAAAAAAAAAGAAATCGCGATGTCTAATTGCGAAAGTAAGCGAAAAGTTCTTTCGTCCCGCGAGACTATTAAATAATTCGTCAGCACACACGCTGTGTAAATGTATTGTACACAAACACTTTTGCTTATTAATTTTTTTTCCCGTGAGAATGATAATTCACGCGCAGCAAGTTGCAATCTTATCTTTTTAAGTTAGTAATAAAAAGCAAAAACGGCTAATGAGCAAAGTTATTTTTGGTTATCATCAGAATCAAGAGGTAATATTGCTGACAACGAGCTGCGAATTATTCAAGTAGATATTATAAGAGTTTGATCCCCATAATATATACGCGTGCGCGCGCGCGCGCGCGCACACATACAAAAAATGTACATCTCATTTAAATATATGAATAGAGTAATTCTTGTATTTGCGCCGTGTCGAATTTTTGCATCAACGCACAAGTCATAAAAAACAGGAATGAAGATAATTTACGCGCAACCACTTTGTTACGTGCGTTTATATTATATTAATATTGTGGCGTAATTTCACTTTTTTATTGTTAATATTAACAAAACCATCATCAGTTTAATCGATTTGTCAGCGTTGATATGTGTGAGCAATCATTATTTATTACAAATATGTAAAATGATTGTAACAAATATCCGCGTAAGATATTTTTTTTCGCCAACAAAAAAAAATAAAAATTTATGATTATCTTAACGTAACAATATATATCGCATAATATATATGCCCGTTTAACTTGCTTTTTGTTTGAGTGCGTAAACACTTATTCCTATTGATAAAACTCGCATGGGCGTTGCCACGAGCGAGAAATGACACACACACGCACACACACACACACCTCGGTTATAGGATTTCATAATAGATACACCGCGGTAATTGTAACAACTCCCTTAAATATTTGAACAGTAATCTCGGAAAGTTGTTGCGCGCGGATCCGCGACTATTCCGTTATAATTCCTGCGGTTACACGCTTTTACCGTCTCGAAATTCAAATCGGGCCGCGCAGGTGCCTCTGGTAATTAGAAAGTTCATTACTCCGACAAGGGAGTGACAACGACAGAAACTTCGTATCCCCGTATACTCGCGCAGCTCTTGAAGTGAAATTTTGGTGTGTATTGCGAGGTCTCGCCTGATCTTTGCGCACTTTAGAGACTCGTGTACACTTATCTCTCACATTCACGACATCATCGACAGATGCTATGTATGTATTGATATGTACCATTGACGGTACGAAGCCCACACACGCATCCTCAACTACCTAGAAAAGCGATCCGCGTTTCTACGTCCCACGGAGCAGAAACTCCGTTCGCCGCAGAGATAAGGATGTCAATTGCAGCTTAAAATACAAACCGCGCACAATAAGTAAGACAGACAGCTGTAATAAATATTGTTACTTTACACGTGTGCGCGTTTTTATTTTTATTTTTTAACGTGTCTGAAAAAACAAACGTCACACTTCGTTATTTTACATCGTTTTTTTTTTTTTTTTTTTTTATCTGTCACGTTAGAGCCCCGCATGATTTGTTCCACATTTGATGTCGGAATAGGCGTTTCAAAATAAGATTATCGTGTGTTTCAGGTTTATAGCGAGACCGCTCGATTCGATTACGTATTATGAGATTTTCGTCAGAGCGGCGTCAAACTCATACAATATATTCTGGTCACACAGGACATGTCTGTAACGTCATTATCGCTTAACACAATCTTTGCTAACATCTTCGTCTCGCTGGATATTGCGAGCTATGTGTCAGTTTCATTTATTTTGATCAAATTATACAATGGAAATCTTTTTTCTTTTTGTTCCCAGGTGTCAATTCCAGGTGAACTATTTCCGCTTCCATTTTTGCGCACGCAAATACAGAGATATAAGAATAACTATAAATCAAAAAACTGCACTATATAGATCGTGTGAAGAAGCATATCTTTTCTCGAAATGTGTTTTCTTTTTGTCTTACATATATGTACGTCGTAATATGATTATTTTGCAAAGAGTGTTGCACCACAAGTGTTAGTACAGCACGTATATAAACTTCTTTACGGTATTTAACATATCGCAATGTTCGTGACAGGCATTCCGCGTTTACAAGTTGCGACATGCAACGATCGCAACTGGCACAATGTCGTTCCCGCGACTAATATTATTATTTCGCTGTGTGCGCCATATACAAAGTTATTGTTGGAACGCGATTCGCTAATGCGCACACGCGGAACGAGATCTCTCTCGCATCTCTCTCGGATTTACTTCGTTGTCGTCATTCCGTAGCCGTCAGAAAACTTGATATACGTCGCGTTCCCGGGAGAAAAAAAAAAAAAAACATCGGAAAAAGCATATATACTATATGCATTTTGATGAACTCGACGGATATATAAAGACACGCGGTTTTCGATCTCCTCGCCGTGTTGTATCATCCCGTTTTGACTATACGTATTATCGATGTCATTTTTAAGTGCGTGTCGAGTAACATCCACGGAAATGACGCAGTCCGCAGAGGGCGAGAAGATATTGCTTTTTAGTTTTCATCTCGCTATACATACATATATATTTATATGGCTGCGTTCGTTTTTTACTTGCAGTACTGAAAATTTATAGATTCGTGTCACGTATACTATAGATTTTTCAATACTGTCAGTAATAACCGAACAGAGTCATATCTGCTATGGGAACGTGCCGTGAATAATGTTGACAATAAGTACCTTTTGTAATGAATTCCTTTGTGAACATTGAGAGTAAACCAAAATTATAATTACTTTTATTAAATAATTTGTAGAGTGGGAAGGGGGAATAAAAAATATTCCATGTGTGTGTGTGTTTATGCAAGTAAATGCGTATAAGTAAAAAAGTTTCGTGAAACCCGCGTTTGAGAAATAATAAAGGCACTTTGGTGTATAAATAAGTAAACTGAAACGGGTGTAATATGCTACCACACTTTAGTCTAAGTACACAACCGCATGATGCTTAAACATTGCGGTGGCGTTTGTTACCCGTACAGACCGAAAATGTTAATTACGTTCTCTCGGCCGCGATATCGTGGGAACCGAGCGCGAATTTTAATCCCCGGTGGTCTTCTCCGCCCAGCGCGCACGAGTGAATTTATATTCCGAGAGAAGGCCATTATCGCGACTCTAACCGGTCTGATTAGAGACAGACACGACCACGTGAATATTGCGAATCAGTCTCAAACCGAGATCGATCGATGAGAGAATGATCTCGCAATGAGAGAAATACACAATCAATCATTTATTCTCAGGTTAACACACACACACACGCGCGAATTATTTGAGAAATAATCACACAATTCCTTAGTCAGATTTTTTTTTTCACGCTTTTGCATCTCTCGTCTCAATTAAAACCATATATATGTATATGTAGATATATAGTACACATTATATTCTTTCCACCAGCCGAGAAGTAAAAACGTCGCAAACGTCGTTTTTTTTGCATGGACACCTCTCAGAGAAAAGTTTCCTCTAAAGTTCTCAGCGAATAATCCATGTTCGCGCGTTCTCACCATCACATAGAAATTCCCGGCAGAGTAGAGAGAGTCACAATGTGTAATATAAACGACAAACGAGCGCGGAACACATAAGCGATAACGATCGCGGTGAAAGCCTTTCCACTGAACGCCGAAATGGCGTTGTGTGTGTGTTCCAGCAGCATCCGAACGCGACCAACAGTAGCGAGACGAGCGTGGGTGGCGTGTCGGGTGCGTGCGGAAGCAGCGGCATACCGGTGCCCGGGGAGGCCGGATGCAGCAGCAGGGGTGGCAGCAGCAGCGGTGCCGGCGGCGGCGGCGGCGGCGGCACAAGCGCCGGACAGAGCTGCGATCAGGCCCACGGGGGTCCGTCTTCGCACACGTCATCGAAGGAGAGCCATGCGAAGTTCCGGCACGGCCTGCTGCAGCTTATGATACACACGATCGATCCGCTCCACGACGGTCAGTCCCGCGCCGGTATACCAACTCCACACTCTATCACTCTCGCTTTGCAGCTTGCGACTCGTTTTTCTATTCAGCACGCCACTATAGTTTTATTAGATGTTCTTCTCTCCGACACGTTTCTGCGTCTCTCTTGAGGCGTATTATTTTGGCGAGTTTGCAGCATCACGACGACGATGTATCTTCCTTCCTCCCCCGGAAGAACGCGGGAAATTCATCGTATGTCTGGCTAAGTAAAAGTTTTTTTTATTTAAAAATATCCTCTTTAATAATAATAATTTCTTTGGTAAATATATTCAAAAGCAATGAAATATCGAAGCTGATTATTTTTTTGTAGAGAATATAAATTGGTCGTTTTTTAAGTGAGAATGAAATTTATTCTAACCAGCATAAAGATTAAAATGGCCGTGACTTTATTTTTTTTTTTTTTTTCTGACATGAACACACGCAAAGTTCAGCGGCGATAACGAAGTTCTCACGGAATTTTAAACAAACATTAATAAACGCCCGATCGGATCCAATTAAGAATCTGTCACAGTAGAACAACGCAAAACGCAGTCCAATCGGAGTTTTCATTAGCAATATGATTTATGATTTTTTGTAAAGTTTTGATTTTTGCTACGATTTCTAAATTCGTAAAGCGTGTGTGTGTATAATATTCTTATAGAAAATAGAAATAATATAAAAGCAAATTATACCGCTGTATCAGAGAAATTTCGAAATTTTAATGTAATTATTTATTTGAAAAAGACGTTATGAGAAATTTAAATGTAAGGTATATATATATACGGCTGTTGACGTCAAGATGGCATCTGTGAAAATGTGCGTGAAATAATGATTGTGTACTGCACATTTTCGAAAGGTGCGCATTGATTTGACAACAACACTTGTCATGAATGACAAGCTCAATTATATATATATGTGTAATATAGTCTTGCTAGTATTGAGTTTGTTTGACGGATCTGCATGAATGTTATATCGATTGCAGACAGTAAGCTTTTGAACGCTGCATGTTATATATATATTTATAATGCGTGTAGAGAACATTTTTTAGTATACATATATATATATATGTATCATATATGTATCATATGATACATATATATATATATATATATATATGTATATATGTATCTTTTGATTTTTATCTAGAAAATTTTAAGAGGATGACCATCGATTGAGTGATGTGAATAACATCTTTCAACAGAAAGAAATCATCCTCCCTGATAAATTGCTATATCGGCATTGCACTCTCGCTTTCCTCTGTCCCTACTTTCTTCCCTTCCCGTGTGCTATGCATTTCGATAAAAACCTCTCGTGCAAGAATTTTGTATCGACTTTACGGCTTGATTGGTTGAAATTTTCACTGTGTTCAAGGGATATGCGTCCAAAAATAAGTTATCGATGACACAACCATGATCGCACTGACTCGTATGCCGCAGGTTATAGTCCGTTAATAAATTATTTGGTGAAGATTGAAAGCGTAGGAAGTGAACTCACGCTTAGAAAGACGATATTTTCTTTATATCCTAAATTATTAGCATTTAAATCATTAAATTTGCGTGAATGCTTAGCATTTACTTACATAGGTACTACTTGTTCTCTCTCTTTGCAACATTAATTCAAATATCTCTGCAAATTCAAGATGTTGATAATTGTTCATTTATTTACAAGAAAATAAATCTCACAAAAAATACAGGAAAAAATATATATGTATATACATATATCTATATGACGTATGTACATATTTGCATATATATATATATATATTACGTTATCACGCAACTAAACAAACGCGCGCGGGCGCGATAGGGACGGCGAGAGATTTCTAACCGAGACCTCATAACGCGATATCAACGGGACAATATCAGCGTGTGCGGAAGGATATAACAAGATACGCGCAGTCGCGATATATTGACGTGATTAGAGCGTCGAAAGATTAAGTGCGCGCGATATGGCGCGCGAGAAAACGCTATGTTCGGGTTCGACAGAGGCTAGAGAGAAATAAATGCAACTGTACATATCCCGTGATATTTCCCTCTTGTTCGCGGCCACCCGTATGCATTTTATAGATCGAAAGTGGGCGCCGTTCGGGAGAGAAGTCGCGCGGGGAACGTTATTTTGTTCTGCGCCGTCGCCGCGTGCCGCGCAGTCGCCGAGCTATATATTCCGTACGCGCAAACGTGCACACAGAGCGCGGTATTAAACAATAGCAGGAAAAACACGATAACGTTTCCATTTTCTACAATGGACCGAGAGATTACCGGATTGGCCGCGATTTACATTTTCTCTGAAAATGCCGCGCGCTCGTAGGAGCGACAAAACTTACCTTATGATTTAGTAAAATCAGCGCGTCAAATTTTCGAGTGCGGTAAACAGAAATGAATAAATAAAATATTTAGGAATATTTCGACAAACGCGCGCAATTGTAAGAGAGAGAGAGAGAGAGAGCAAGACAAAAAGTGCAAAACGAAAAAATATTATAAAGCGGAGCTACTTATGCATAGAAGCGAGTTAGAATGTGCGAATATCTTAATAACATTTACAAAAACTATAATCTTCGTTCGCGTTTGTACATGTTCGTACGCGTAAGAAGCAGGATAAAAAATCAGGATAACTCGGATTTGTGAACAAAATGCGCGGAGGCAGAGAGAGAATCGCAGGTCTCGCACGAAAGGAGTTGTCTAATTGATGGTCACCTTTTTCTTCGCGATGCCGCGTGACCTGACCCATTTGCGTGGCTGTGTCTTCGTGGCTTACTGCCCGCGTATGTATGTGCACGCTCACATACGTATCTCCGAAATCAATCCCACGAGGTTACCAAGTTTGCCCCTGGATTAGAGATTTCTATCAAAATCGTCATCCGCGTCGCGAGTCCCGAGTTTTTTCCGTGCTTATAATTTAGCGATTAACAAATACACCGTCACGTTTGTGCGAATTCGGTCTGCTTATGGTTTGCAGAAAGAGGCGGATGTGCGGTCGTTTTCTAAGGATAAGCGCGCGATTATCCGGCTAGATCGGTCCCGATAATCCCCCGAAGCATCGAAGGGATTCCGAAAGGAAGAAAAGATTTCCAATGCGCGTGGTTGCGGCAGCACGTTGGGAAAGTTTGTTCCTTCTTAAGTTTCAGTGAAAGTGTCATTTGGATAGGAAACGAAAAGCGCAATTCAGAGAGCAATTATCGGTAATCATTAAATTGTTCGGGAAGTAGATATATCGCTACGAAGAAGGTGCGCATCTCACCGAGCGTACAATTTATTATATATAAGTATACGCGAGTATAGTGTTCGCTGCAAATATTGTACACGTTACAACTGCGGAGTTTGCATCGCGCGATTTATCTGACACGGCAATAAATGTGCGAGCAATATAGTCGAAATATGACAAAAGGAGATATTGGAAGAGAGGGATAATCAATCTATTTTCCAGGAAACGTTCGTATGGCTCTAATATTACATGTTGAGTAATTTTGTTCTTACAAAGCCGAGTTAAGTCGCAGATTTCAAATAAATTTAATACTCCTCGATATATCTCTTTCGTTTCTCTGTGACAACGTAATTATATATTTTGCGTGTCTATTTATCGCGAGTGTACATTATCGTTGTGAAAACTCAAGTCAAGATAACGCGTGTGTGTTTCTCACACACACACACACACACAGAAATAATTGTATCTTTAATTTTGAACGCGTTGTTCTTAATTCTAGAAAAATTAAATTCGCAGCAGTATTTTTTTTATTAAGAACGTTCTCCGGACTACAGTGGTTGGCAACCTAAATACAGTGGTTAGCAACCTAAAATATCTCTTCTCATGAGTAAGTTTGTACTGCTAAGTAACAAAGTTAAGTTGAGCTATTCAACACTGCTAAGACCCGCTTACTCTGCGCAGAAGTTCAAAAATAGCTGCAGTATGCAGCGCACATAAATCCAGCAAAACAAAACCCCCCCCCAAAAAAAACAAAAAAAAGCTACAGTTTGAAAACAAGGGTTGCTTGCCATATTATTCAAAATCGTATTTTAATTAAGACACTCTCCGCTACCACATACTTGTTTTAAAAAAAAATCCTACAAAACTTGTCGTCAGTAACTTTAAAAAACCCCGCTTCACAAAGGCTCGGCATAGGAAATCCATATTAAAAATTGAAACTTAAATCTTCCATATTTTGGAATTTAACATCGCTACCCCTATTATCCAAAAAGGCTACGTATAAATAAGATCATAAACTATGTATATTGCAAATTTAAAGAAAATCCTAGGAAAATCAATAATTCGGAGAACGTCCTTAAACTGATGTTTTTTTATCTCGTTTAACAAAGAAATATAGTGTAATCTTCAGAGTATCGTATCATCGGATTTGGATGAGATAAGCGTGCGTGTTTGTGCAGTTGAATTCTGAACTTTTCTTCTTTCTCCAAATTATCTCTTTCCAAAGCAGTGTGATGTGCGAACGTTCGGTGTCACCTCGTAATAAACCAATTCCAAACGTTATTATAATCGCGGGAAGATGAAAAGAGAAAAACTGCAAAATCAACATCCCGAAACCATTTGTTTCGGTTTATATTCGCGCACGAAGCGACGAGTGTTGCGGTAATACACTCGTCCATGTGTTAATTTCTAACATCGATCTTTCTCAGAGCTGCCAGGAGTATCTGAAAAATAAAAAGCCCGTATATATATTTGCCCGATTTCTCTCTTGCGTGATAGCACAATGACCCTATCCTAAAATTTAAAAAATTTCCAGATAGTATCAATTTGTAGAGAGCTTCTTTTGTATACACGTAATATTCTAGTCAATGATTGAAGTTTATTTCGTAACTGTGAATGTAACAGAAAAAATATTTTCATTGAATATATGTATTCTAATTTATATAATTATTCTTTTCCGCGCGCGCAAAGAAACGGATTTTGTTATAATACACACATTGTTGTCTTGAAATGACAAAGTACAAGAAAAGTCGTCACACGCGCGGAAAAACAAAACGAGTGTGGTTTAAAATTCCGCGCATACACACGGC